GGCATGCCACCCTTACAACCACATCCACACACACGCCTCCCCATTCTGTGAAAGAAGTCCAAGCTCAGCGTAGTATTTCTAGGAATCATCTTCATGATCAAAACCAACTCAACTGCACCTGCTCAAGGCTGGCTGCTGTGTGCTCTATTCCAACCATGGGCTGGATGTGACTTTCAAAGCTGAAGGCCAAAGCCCATTCTTTCCAGTACAAGAGAGAACACTGTGCAGATGAAGATGACTGAAAAATGTAGAAGAGAAAGAATAGTAACACAACTGGAAAGAATTATGCTGTGGCCTACGACGTTGGAATGCAGATTTTGTTTGGAAAAATGGAAAGTTTCCAGCTTTCTACACTTGAACCCAAACCCCCTACAGTGTCAGGATATCAGGAACTTAAACTGTCACAAGAAATATAATGGGCATTAAAGAAAGCCTATACCACTTATCAGGGAGAAAGCACTGCAGGCTGCCAATTCCTTAAAAGGAATGTGGCTTTAGAGTCACAAAATTAAGATAAACAAAACTTTGCATGAGACTTTGGACCAGAACACTACTATCAGGTCAAAGATGCCATTCTCTCTTGGATTAAAACCAAATTCTACCACCATCTGTGCCCACCATGTCTAGTGGAACAACTTTCTGACCCCAACTGGATTAGTTGAAACATTAGATAGACAGCAGGGGCACAAGTCCTTAGTAAAGACACAGACTAGCTAGAGTGATTAAACGGGATGCCTCAACCATTAGAGTTGGGTACTAGAATAATTAAATCTGCACCAAAGTTAGATGCTGTCCAAAACTTTAAAAATCCTATGGTTCTATAATCTCTTGTGTCTTTGGAGTTTCATTGGAGTCAACTATGTTCAGGTACCATGAGTAGATCTATAAACACTAATCCAGAGACTCTTTATGATGGCTCTCAGGCTAGGTCTGGCCCCAAGGTCAGAACATCTCAGAGAAGCTTTTAGATGGCAGCCCTGCACTTTGTACTCACCTTCTTAACAGGTCTTCTTGCCATTGCTCATGACCTCATCCCAGAGTTAGGAGACAGCATTTGCAAAGGATAGTTTGTGATGCTTAGATACAAATCTGAAGGTCCTGCAGAAACATCAGCACCCCCAACACCCTTCTTCATGCATATAATTCAATGATGTCTAATAAATTTACTAAGTTGAGCAACTATCACTGTGACCTTAGACAGTCAGAGCATGGGCAGCTGGTGGCAGGGTAAGCACAGGCCTGGCTGGCCCCTTTGGGCAGGCTGTATGAGGACTGCACAGAGGATGTGGGTGTGCTGAGATCCAGGGGTACCGCAGAGACTCCAACAAGCTCCCCCAGATGTGCAGGTGCCATATTCAGCCTCAGGAGGTGGGCTGAGGGCTGTGGCATCTCTAAGCTTCCTGCTGAGGGGTCTTGCAGCCACCTCCTCCCCATTGACCCTGATACTATAGACAGTCAGGGAACACCAGGGAGTCTCCCCTATTGGACGATGGTACAGGGGGAGGTTCTTACACTAAGCTTGCCAAAAGCTAGAAAGATGAATGGGCAGGGACTAAAGATGCCAAAAGCTAGAAAGATGAATGGATAGGGCCTGAAGATGCCAAAAGCTAGAAAGATGAATGAATAGAGTCCAAGCATGCCAAAAGCTAGAAAGATGAATGGATAGGGCCAAAGTGTGCCAAAAGCTAGAAAGATGAATGGACAGGGTCCAAGTGGGCAAGAGCTAGCAAGATAATTGGATAGGAAAAAAAAGTCCTCTTCTCTCTATCCCTATAAAAATTATGGACTTCAGCAGAAAGGGGGACAGTCTTTGAGATGAGAGTCCACCATTCTACCAGGTCATTGCACATGAATAAACCTCTTTTCTTTTTCTCCAGCACCTGTCCTACAAGTTTGGTTTTCATTGTGGCAGGCAGCCAAGCCTGTGTTTCAGTTACATCACCACCATCCAATTTTAGAACACTGTCATCTCCCCAATAAGATCCCTCATGTCTGTTTATAGTTAATCTCCATTCCTACCACCAGCCCCAGGTTAAGTGAAGGCTATGTGAGTGCCTCTCCTTTCCCTCAACTCCCACATCCTCTTTGTTTATCTGCCAGTATATACTGCATAGAGTGGTTACCTAAATGTTTCTAGGAAGAGACAATGCCTGTGCCATTAGCTATTTGTGGAGTTTGGACACAAACACACACAGACACACACACACACACACACACACACACACACACACCACACCACCACCACCATCACCAACAATTCTCCCCATCCAGCCCATCAGGGAGAAGTCCCATACTGCTGTACAATGGTTCCAACTCAGCTATTACAGGTGTGGCCACTGTTTTCAAAGGCTGCAGGAAAATTAAATATTATTCTTCACAATAGTTATCATTTTTAGAAATCAATATCACTAAGACCTTCAAACTAAGGATCCTGCCTGTGTTTCCTGAAGATGATATCGATGAATTCAGCAGTGAAAAATCAAAAGAGGATCAAGTAACTGAAAAAAAATAATCATAATCAAATGGCTTCTGGAAGTATACCACTCACTCAATATTTTCTTCACATCAAAGTTTAAATATAGTTCTAGAAAACAGTGGGGAGAGAATCAGGGAAGCATTTTTAAATTTGCTCCTTTGTAGCATGTCTAAGATATCAAAGTACACCTCTATGTTTTGCCAGCATGCTGTATGTAGGTGTTCTCCAGTAGGAGGTAAATTCGCTCTCTGGAAGGTGTGGTACCCAATTTGCCCATCCCAAGAGGTGGACTGGGACTCTTGTCTATGCATTGAGAAAATTAGACTTGACTATTGTGCTTCCATCTTGAAAAGCCAGGATGATTATATGAGATCAATTATTCAGCAAACATCCCTAAAATATATTTTAATGTAACTAATACACCTGATTTATTGCTTAATACTTTTAATTTTTCTTTGATTAAAAAATAGTAGAAAAAAATGACTCATATAAACAAATAGAAAAATACTTTCTTTTATAGTTTTTCAGATATGAAAAAAATATGACAAGCATCTTTCACAGGGATGGGGTTCTTCTACCTAAAACTTGGAAAAAATTTCACACTCATTTCGCTCAGTTGCTAAAAGTTCTGTTTCATATGAACATCACATTTTCCCATTTTTCTCTCCTGCCTTTTTATCAGAATGCATGATAGAGAATGCATTCTGATAAAAATGTACAAAACATTAGCTGGGCCTGAAACAAAGGAGTCTACTTAAGGAAAAGGCAAAATAAAATAAAAATTTTAAATCCCTATAGAGTATTTTTGAAGCATAAAAAGCAGACTTTTTAAATGCATGAAGTCCCACAATCCCTTCCCCAAACCCTTGCAACAGAGCTCATATATTTTTGTATTTACTATTTTTGAAAAGGAGAAAAAAGTATTAATAGAACTTAAATCCAGATAGGGAAACACAGGACTATTTAACATACTTTTAACTTTCTATTTTCACAGCTGCTCAAATTAGACAAATGACTGTGACAGAATGACTAATAATAATGGTGGAAAATAATGATAAAATAATGGTGGAAAAAAATTGATAATCTTACAAAACATAGATTTCTGACCACAGAGGGTCACAAATTACTTAAATTGAAGTGATTTCCATTTTGGCTTCAGAGAATGAAAGCCTCAAAAGTGAATGTTTAGAATCAATTTACTTGATTTGCACATTACCTTAACTGAACTTCAAGAATGATCTAACACCCATATTTGAATTAACAGACAGAAAATTAAAGTTGGATTGGTACCTGATACTTCATTGCATGGAGAACACCGCAATCTGTTTGCCTTCCAATGTGGGTAAAACAATGCTAAGGCATTAAACACAAGGGACTATAATCCAGTTATAAAAGCTACTTATGCATCAGTCTGGGGATAATTAACCCAGAGAAGGTAATTCTGTGCTACTTGAAACACACCAAGTCAAAGAACACCCGAAAAGAAGATAAACAGCAGAGGGAAGGCATCATCATTAACACAGGAACTATAATGCAGATTAAGAGCAGTCACACAGCTGAGAAGACCAACATCAGGCCATAAGTATGCTTCCCCATATCATAAGCAACAGAAATTCAGCCTCCGAAACAAAGACTGGAAATGTGTTCCACAACATGCTGTATTCTTTAGGAAAGCACACTCTATACAGCATTGTGAAAATCAGGTGACACCTCCCAAGGCGTCTTTCATTATAAATGGCATTGATGTCTTAACACTGGACCTTCATTTGACAATTTGTTTAGAAAGTACTCCTCAGGAAAGAGGTCATTTAAGTGTGTTTAACATTAAAGTAAAAGGAGCTGATTCCATAATAGGATCACCTTTCCACTAAATAACTACCACAGAAACAATTATTTCCACACTCAGACAAGTAAGCAATAATTCCAACCCTTCTCAACTATTTACTGGGAAGTGGCTGAATTCCAGCATGTATTATAGCTACATATAGTCAGATTCTGCATCAAGAACATCCATGTGACCAATTTCTGTCCTGATAGGCAGGACTTTTCAATTATTCTCTAAATACTCAAACGAACCTCCTTTCCTACTATCAAATATTGGTGATTAGTTCAAGGTCTACCAATCACATTGTCACAATCCTGAACTCCAGCGTGCCTATTCTGAAAATCCTTACACAACTTTCGATTTCAGCACAAGGATTTTACAATCATAACATTTTCTATACCGAAAAACAAGATATATAATATCATAAAGGCTTCTCCAAAGTCAGCCGACTATATTTTCACAAAATAACAGCATTTGCCTTAGAATTGAGACACTCGAATTCCATTGAAAGAACTTTGGTGGACAGTGACGGCAGCACAGCAAAAAAGAAACTTGGAAAACCTCTGCCTTCTCATTTTTAAGACTCTCATATGCTCCCACTCAGTAGAACAGAACTCAGACTCACATATTTTATTTGTCTTCCAAAAATAGCCAGCACTGGGAAGAAAGGGCAGGAGATAATGAAGACCAGATGCCTACCTTCACTGGTAGCCACATTCTTCTGGGCTTGGGTTGGTGTGTGATCTGTACTTGAACTCACGTCGGATGAGATGCTTGAGCTGCCTTTGCCTAAAGAAAATAGAAATGAGCAGCTTTTGAGTTTTGTAATTTCAGAACTAGACCGTGCCTTTCACTCTGTCCCACAGTAAGCCACATCGCTTGTTTCCAAGAAAGGAGCCGTAATACCAAGAAAGGAGTTTATTAGGTTTCTTGCCTTATGCATTAAATATCTTTTGGGAAATGCCTGACCCATGTCAGAGTAGAACTAAAACCTTATTATAATCTTGTTGGACTATAAACTCAGACAAGATTATAAAACGTAGTCAAATATGATAACGTAATCTAATTTTGGCATACATGTGACTAAGAAAGTACATATGCGAAACACATCTACAATATTGATTTTTTATTTGCAGCTATAAACTATACATTTTCCAATAAAGGACAAAAGAAAATCTAAGAATGAGGCATTAACCAAGGAGCAAGAGCCTACTTGCTCCAAAAAGCTCTACCACCTTAAAAACAAATTCCCTGTTTTAATAGGTTATTTAAAAAAAAAATGGAAAGAGGTTTGCGTCATTTTTCTAACGCAGTAAATCTCAAGCGGGGGTGCTTCTCCATGCAAGGGGACATTTGGCAATGTCTGGTATCATTTTCAGTTGTTCTAGCTGGTGAGAGTATGCTCCTAGCACTAGTGGGTAAGAGTCAGAGATGCTGCTTAAACATCTTACAATGCACAAGACAGCCCCCTCACAACAAGGAATTATCCAGCCCAAGACATCAATAGTGCTGAGGTTGAGAATCTCTGGTATAAATAATCTTACCTTGACTCACAGCTCAGTCTGTACTCTTCTGACTTTTAATATGAGCATATGTAATATTGCTAAACATTCTCTAAATGCCACATGAAAGTCTACAAATATGAACCACACTCGCTGCCTAGTGAGGGGAGTGCCAATGACTGGCGAGTAGTAGAATTCTAAGATAACTCCCATGGTACTTGCTACAGACCAAATGTTTGTGTCCCTCTAAATTTCATATTTTAAAACCTAATCACCAATGTAATAGTATTAGGAGGTGATTCGCCTTTGGGAGGTGATTAGGTCATGGTGTGGCACCTTCATGAATGGGACTTAGAGAAGAGATCCCAAAGAGCTCCTTGCCCATATGAGGAAACAGAGAAAAGATGGCAATCTTTGAACCAGGAAATGGGCTCTCATCAGTTACCTCGATCTCAAACTTTTCAGCCTCCAGAAATGTAAGAATCAAACTCCTGTTGCAATAAATCACCTAGTCTATATGGTATTTTGTTGTAGCAGCCTGAAGAGGTTAAGCCTGTGCCCATGTGCTTGGTAATCGGCTCCCCTTGAGTCTGGGCAGAACCTGCAACTTGCCACTAAGCCACAGAGTAAGACAACAGTGAGAGGGTTTTGCAGATGTCATTAAATTCCCTAATGAGTTCAATTTAGTCAAAAGGGAAATGATTCTGGGTAGGCCTGACCTAAATAGATAAGCCCTTTACAGGAGTCTAGAGGACTCTAGAGGAGAGACTTCCTGCTGCTCTTGAGGAAGCAAGTCACCATGAGTTCTACAGCTGCCAGGCAGCGAATTCTGCCAACACCCATTGTGCATGGAAAGGGATTTGAGCCCCAGATGAAAGCCCAGCCCTGGCCAGCACCTTGATTGCAGCTTTGTAACATGCTGAACAAAAGTCCAGCCCAGAATTCTGACCCAAGGGAAATAAAATAATGAATGTATTTCATGTTAAGCTGCTGCTAAGTTGGTGGTAATTTGTTATGCAGCAATAGAAAACTATATAATGACCCACCAATTATATCACAAATGAGCTCTTTTCGCTCCACAAGTTATGATGAAAACTCTTACGTGCAACTGAGAAACAGTTTTCCAACATCCCTCCCTATGCAGTGGTGTATACACCTCAGTCAGGCAGAGTGAGCTTACAGTCTGAAAACAGCATAAAAGCACAAATGGGCAATTTAAAGAGCTTCGGGGATTTGTTTGCTAATGTTGACAGTAATGGAACAATCCAAGTTCATGGGTGATATCACCTGGACAGGGAAGCTCATTGTGATTTATGACTCTGTTATAACAGGTCTGCAATTCCCATCATGCCTGCCCATTTCACACCCTCCTCCCTTAGAGGCAGCCAACGCAGCACAGTAACTCTCCATCGGTTTGTGTCTAGCCTGCCTTTGCAGTCACCATTTATCTGCCATGGTTCACCTTTGGAGGGTACTGACATGTTGGACTCGGTACCTCGTTAGAAATATGTCAAACTGATTTCTGACCTCAGTCTGCTGCTCCCTTGCTTTCTGACCTTGGACATTCACTTCTCCTCCAGGAGGCTTAGTGTCCACATCTGGTAGGGGAGATATGGAGATGGGTAGACTAAGTGGTTTCTGGCAGCTCAAATAGTTTATGATTCTATGAGTCCATTACAGAACTCTTCAAACCTGCAAACATTACTTTTCAGGGGGAAAAACATTACTGTGCACCATGAATACACAGACTTAAATTATTTTTAGTATACTGTTACTTAGAGATGCATAAATGGCAAACCAGAAATAAACTCCATATGCGTTAGCTCTGATTCAACAATAAGACCAAAACAAAATAACCAATTAAACACAAAAACAAAACCCATAAAATTCCAATTAGCACCATTAATTTAAAGTGGCAGATGATGTTATTCTGCTGACATTGAATTGCCTTTCGAAATGTAAATAAAGTCCTGGCTGCTAAAGCCAACGTTCTCTTGCTTCTGGCACGTCCATGCTACCTTGGGCGTGTGAGGACTCAGCCTGCCCACCACAGTCCTCCACTAGAAAAAAACCTGTCAAACTCTCTAAGCCTCATTGTTTTCATCTATAAAATAGAAATAAAAACAAACAACTACCTATTTCCTCTACTAAGAATGAGGGACTTGTATTCACCTTTCAGGGTCTGTCGGAGGCTATTATGGGGAAGTAGTAATTTATGGCTTATAAAGCATTCAATTATGTGCAATACCAGCCACAGCCCGCCCTGCCATTGTTTAATATTGACCCATTTATCACAGCTAAATTTGTCTAAGGAGAAAGAAATGAAATTTAAAACACTAATTGCTGCTTTACTGTTCTATGCACATAGAATACTCTATTTTCTGTGCATATAAATTAAATTATACAAACCTTATATATCCAGCAGAAATCCCTCAGGTATAAGCAAGGTTGACAGTTCTACTCTCTCTCTAACTGCTTTACCTACACTACAGGAAAGTTTGTTATTGGCCATTCAGGATAAAGTAAAATTTTGCACTTTATTAATCTGCTGCCAAGTAGACTAAAAGGCCCACATAAGGGCAATTGAACAATTAGGTATCGAATACAAATAATTATCAAAGCGAGTGAAGATAATCGCATTGAAGATGGTGAATGTTGTCTGTAACACGTTAACACAGGCATATAATTCTGAATCACAGTACGAGAAACTATTGGTGCATCGATCATTTAGGTCATTTGGGACACATGATTAACCCAGGAATGCTAGCAGAAGAATGTGCTAGTCTTCTGGTCCAATCCCACATCCTTTGGGCTTTCTGTTAGAGTGTGCCACGTTTCCCCAATGTTTGAAGAGAGAGTGTTCATTAAATGGGGATCCTATTAGAGAGGGATTTTAAGTCTCTTTTAATTAAAAAAATTCCCATATGTAAAATAAGTTTCTTGTCTCCCTTCATTTTCAGTGCCCAGGCTGATTCTGCAAGTGCAGATACTTAAAACTAGACAGGCAGACATTCCATTGTGATTTATAGACAACATGAAGAATATAAAGAGTGGAATAGAAAATATCAATCAATGTGTGACAACAAAGTGAATCAATGGGCCCTATGATTTCTAACATTCTTAAGAGTTCAAGAAACCACTTGCAAAATTGATTCCCTATATCAATTCCAGATTACATGCACTGAATTCATTCCTGTGGATTTCAGCCGCAGACTTCTCATACGAAAGCCACAAACAGGCACGTGGACCCACGTGGGGGACTGAGCCACTTATTTCCTGTTTCTTTCGGTTACCTTGTTTTCAACTTGCTGTTAGAGAACCATGAGAGCCTGATTTGATATTAAATGTCCATATCAACGGAAAGAGAATGTTTTTCAATATCTCAGAATTAGATCAAGGGAACAGTGGGTCATATCTGTGTGTTGAAGCCACTGTTATTTTTTCTGACTGTTATCTTGTGAGATAGTTTCTTACCTTCTCTGACTCAGGGTTCAGAAGTCTATACATACAAGATAATAATACTAGTCATCTCAAAGGATGATCTGGCTTAATCCCTGGCCCAGGTGTGTACTAGTTTTGGGAGAAAAAGCTGAACACATATTGGGAAAGCACATTAGCTCTTTCAGGCCAATGGGGAGAGATTTAATAGATGAATCCCCAGACGTGGAGGCACTGCAGTAGAGTGAAACGAGCAGAAATCAAACCCTGAGCCCTCTGCCCTGCTTTACGGAGAGCAAGAAACCTAAGACAGTTTCCTATGCTTTGGCTCCTTCTATTTTTTGTTCTCTCTGGGTGAAGACTGAAGAGTGGGCTCCAGAGGACAAGAAAAGGAAATAGGAAAGACAGAGTTCTGTTTTGTTTTTTTCCTTTCAAGACATTTAATGTCCCAACTGGAACTTTCTTTACCATAGTTTCCCAAAGCACCTAACGAGTGACCTGAGGGCCACTGAGCAAGGTACCCACTTCTGTAACTGGGGGCGTGGGGGTGGATCTAGGGAACAAGATCCTGCCTTCCCCTAAGAGGCTGACATTCTAATGGNGGTGGATCTAGGGAACAAGATCCTGCCTTCCCCTAAGAGGCTGACATTCTGAGCTTCTGTCCAGCCTGAGAAAAGCCAAGAACACTTTCCAGCATCTGCCTCATTGCTGAGAGAGGCAGTCCCTACACAAATACAAATCCTGGTGCAGAGTGCTGGCATCTTTTCATTATTTCAAAATTTATATTGACATAAAATTTGCCATTTGAACATTTTTAAGTATGTAATTCAGTGGCATTATTTGCATTCA